ATCGAATAATTAGTCCATATCAATCGTCAGCTCTATTCCAAAAACCTCCGTTTGGATATAGTAAGAAATTACTTGAAAATCAATCAAATTAAAAATTTTAAAAATTTCTTACAGTTCACTTGAACAGGAAAACTATTGAAGGAAAATATTTCTATATATCAACCAGTGGAATTTCGTTGGATCTACCGTCATCCATTTTAGAAACTGTTATATGAAAATTAAAAAAAAACACCAGTTTATGAAAATTCTATTCTGATAATTCTCTTCTGTTTTTAGAAAGAATTTATCTTTTCAAGTCCTAATTCAAATTACTACACAAATAGACAGAAACTAACACGAAATTGCCTTTCATTTTGTTGGCATTTATCTACCGTATACACAAAACAAGAAATATTTTGAACAATAATAATAAAAGCTTAATATATATCCAGTTAGACAGATTAGAGTTTCTTCAACCAAAACCAATATCTTGCGATAAAAGACAACGACTTTGGCATGTTTGTCAAAAATCACTTAGTATTTTCAAAATCCCAAAAAAATGTTTCAATAATACAATTAAATTTATAAAACAGAAATTCAACCTATAAATTCCATTCAAAACTTAGAAATTCACAATGAATCTTTAGTTCAGAGAAGACCATTGTTTTTCTGTAGAAAAAGTGAAATTTTAATAAATTCAGCCTATCTTTGCGATGGCATATACGATTGTCCAATGAAAGAGGATGAAGAAAACTGCGAAAGATACTCTGTTAAAAATTTTACTTGTTTCAATTCAAACGAATCGATAACTTTTCCAAAACTTTGCGATTTTATAATCGATTGTCAAGATTCTACGGATGAAATTTTTTGCAGTAAGTTCTCTATTTCTAAATTGAAAGAAACATTCAAAACTGTTCGAAACATCAATTTTAAAAAGACAGGGACAATTGTACAGAAGGTGACAGGTATGATATTCTACATAGACAATTAGATAAAAGCGATGAAATGGTTGACTGAATCAGATCCTGTTCAAATGGGCAATGCGTGAAAGATGACGATATCTGCAACAATGAAAGAAACTGCTTTGACAAAAGTGACGAACTATGTTTTCATAAAAATGCTTTAAGGCAACAATTTAAAACGAGTTTGTGCAAGAAATCTTTGAAATTGAAATCTTCTAAAATCATCTTTCTAAATATAGGTTGCAACCGCAAACACCATTATCAATGTTATTCCAGTTGTTTGCCAAAGTCGTATAAGAACGATGGAAAGTACGACTGTGATTATTATGATGAAACACGGGGCTACAGACGGCAATCTCCCGATGAAGAGAAATATTGCTATTTTGAGAAAACCTCTTTAGGAATACCAATAACTGATTTATTTCAAAGAACAAAGTTATGCGACAGGAAAATCTGTGAAAATGGATATTACAGTTGCAGGAGAGATCATTACTGCATTTCTGTTGAATTGATTTGTGATGATGTTAAACACTGTGCGCTTGGAGATGATGAAACTGGTTGTGGTAAGTCGAATCTGTCCCTGATTATCCTCTCAATCAAGTCTCTTCTTTTCAATAAAACGTCTAGATGATTTTCTCCCCAAAGGATTTTTCAAATGCAGAAAAGAAAAGAAATTTATTATTCTGGAGAAAGTTTGCGATGGAATCGTCAATTGCATTTTTGCAAGCGATGAACTTTATTGTCGTAAATCATCATTGGGATTGTACGAAAACATTTCGAATTGTCTGCCATCTTTCCTTTTCGGAATAAGCTGCAACTTTGCAGAGAAAAGTCATTCAGCTCCAAATGCTATTCAGTCCAGCAACATCACAAAAATGTTCAAAAGTGTTAGAATCAGTGGACAAATGCCAGTCGATTTTTTACAATCGTCAAGTGACTTGGCAATTTTAATTTTGCAAAATCAGAAATCGCTGCACAACTTGAAGTTGGAAATGTTTCCAAATTTACTGCAACTTTCTATAAATAGAATTTCTGTATTGGATGTAAAATTTGTGTTTGGCAATAAGTTGACATTGTTGCACTATGTAGATGTTTCCTTTTTGAATTCCATCAAATCGTTAGATTTTCTCAAACACATGGAATGTCATCATTTACAGCATTTGGACGTTTCGTACACCAGTTTAAAAGCGTTGAAGAGAACGGATTTTGAAACGAGTCGAAGGCTGAAAATTCTCAAAGTGTCTGGTTGCAGACTGAGGGAAATTGAAGAGAATTCATTTATCCTTCTGCAAAAGCTTGTATTGCTTTACATAAACGAATCGACGCTCCCATTGACGCTGACCGAAGGGATAGTTAATGGTTTAGAGAGTTTGGAAAGAGTCTACAGCAGCAGTTTTGTATTTTGTTGTTTGATGAGAGCGATAAATGTTTATTGCGAATCTGAAAATTCTGAATTGTTGAGTTGTGAAGGAATAATTAATTTGAAATATTTGGAAATTCAGTTGTGGTTTTTGACAATTTTTTCAATAATTGGAAATGTTTTATGTTTATTGATAATAATGAAATTCTACACTGCTACCAAACATTCGCATTTCCTTTTATACTTGAGCCAATTGACAATGGCGCTCTATTTATTGTTCATATCATGTCTCAATGTTATCTTCAATCAGAAATATTTCCTGATTGATGAGGAATGGAGAAACAGTTTCTATTGCAAGTCTCTTTCTGTAATTTCTACATTTTCATTAACTTTATCACCAATTTGCAAATTCCTGATTTCCTTGGAGAGATACATGGTTGTTACAAGTCCATTTACAAGATTCATTCTGTTTAGATTTCCCAAAACTACAGCGGCAGGCATATTCTCTTTCTGCTTAATTTTATCAATCGCTGTGATCGAAATGATGAAGGTTTGTTATGGAATTCCTGACATTTTACGAATGAATGACGTTTTAAATTGATTGTTTTGTGTTTACTGTAGGATTTATACATTCAATCCGAGATTTGTCTTTTCATTCCAATTGGTCATTTTTCACAGAACAATCCAAATTCTTACAATATTTTACTCTTATTCAATTTAGCCAATTTCTTCATCTATTTCTCATCTTTCAGTCTACATCTTAAAATGATTTACTATGTTAAAGGAAAGATGAAGGAAATGAAATTGTTGACACTTACAGAAATGAAAACATTTGGGATGAAAATGGATTTTACATTTTTGAGTGTGTTGGATTGTGTTTTGTGGACCACGTTTACTGTTTTAGGTTTCTTAACTTTAAAAATTAATCTACCTTCTATGTAATTTAGCGTGTTAAAACAGGTTTCTTACCGACACTTTTGGACATTAAATTGAAAAATTTTGAATACAATTTAATAATTTTAACATTATTCTCAGTTATTTGTTTTTTAAATTCATATGTTTTGTTGATTGGTGAAAATTCTAGATATAATAGAAAGATGAAATTAAAGAATTTGGAAGAACGGTATGAATAAATGATTTTATCGGAGGAGAGATAAGGAAGAAAGAAGTATGTTTCAATACCCATGTAATTTCTCTTTGTTTCAGGGAAACTTTAGCGTTAAAAGTGACTAAAGAAACTTTTATGAATAGTAGTATAAACATATTTTTTTTCGGTTTGAGGTCAATCATCTGCTTTTTTCAAATAGCTTCATCAACAATTCTAAATATGAAAAAAAACAATATGTGCTTTACCTTAAAACGAATAGATTTGAAATCATTGCCACTAAATAAACAATTTTTTATGGAGGAAAGAACATTGACAAATTGTATTATCAGTTTATTTAAAGCACTCGATTATGCTCATATCAATTGTTTATCATTTAATGGAAAGTTCTCTTTGGATAATTTAGTTTATGACTGTGTTTCAAAGAAGTTTTATCTCAATATTGAAACAATTTTCGAAAAGAACAAAGAAAATACGTCTTTTGATTTATATTCTGCAGGAAATATAGTCAAAAAATTATTACAAAAGAGAACTGCTTTTCTTAATTGATGTTTTTTAAACCTATTTATCTATTAATAAAAGGATTTGTGTCTATTACAAATGATGAAGAGTTACTAAATATTTCTAGGCCTAGCCAATCGTTGGGTATAAAACCGTGTAATGATCTCAAATGGGCTTCAGGGGGTTAACTTTCACCGCCGAATGGTCTGGAGGGTTTAGTATTCCACACTTAGTGGAGGAATTTAGGCCTAGATAATTTATCCTAAAAATACTAATCGTTACTTATTTTTGTACTGTAAGACGAAATGTTTGTTGACTAAAAGTTTCGTATTCTATAGTTATAGGATAGTAGATCTTTTTGCTTTATGGTCACATGACTTGAATTTAAGATGAAATTGCACACATTTTTGAACACATTCTAACGGGGTCAACAGAAATTGTCCACAAAAGAGAAATTTTAAGACTAGATTTTGGATTGGGAAATGGTTAGGCAGAAGAAAACAGCAACAGATTTGTACTTAGGAGGGTCTCCTCTAAGGGTTAGGGGTAATGCAAAAGGTTAGGTACAGCTAAGGGCTGGGTTAGGGTTAGGGTAAAAGCACCAATTTGTGGACGTTTTCTGTCGCATCCCATTCTAACATAAACGAAATCTTTCTAACGTTTTAAGTAGGTAAGGGTTGATTTTTGACTCTTATCATATACCTTAAACATCTACTATATGAATATTAAAGATTTCGAAATGTTTGTCAATCAAACAAAACCTTTAAATGAATTTAGACAATAATCTAATTTTTCTTCACATCAACAGTGGTTATATGGTTATAATAATTGTATATTATTTTTGAACAAAAATTTAATAATAGATACAAATGTAAAAATGAAACTGATGAGAAATACTTCTTACTAATGACTATGAGAGTTGACCTAAAATACTACAAATAATTTATTAAGAGTCACATGATTAAGATATACCTACGTTCTAGTAACAAACATCGTATCACGTGACACTCTATTTTTCAATATAGGCCTACACTGCTCACCTCTTGTACTAGAAGAGAATAAATATAAAAGAATATACGCCTGGTATAAGGTTCAGTTGATATTATAGAGTTGGCAGGATATATACTGTAGAAAGATGTGGTTATTCAAAGCCTGTTTTCGAACAATACCAATTGAAAATGATAATTTTCAATTAAAACCTAGTTATATTACAAACAATTCAAAAATAACTGTTCGGCAAGTCACAGAAAACGATAGTGTAAAGATTACAGAATTACTAATAGAAGGTTTTCATGAAAAAATACTCTATTTATTCGGCGACAAACGCATTGAAAGAGGAATGAAGTTATACCTAGATTTTATGCAAAATGATAAATCAATCCTTCAAAAGATAATTGCTGCACAGGACGAAAATGGAAAACTTGTTGGAGTTTGTCAAATGAAATATTCAAAGTTTGTATTAAGTTTTCTTGTAAAGAAAAAATTCAAAAATCTTCCCTCTCTCTAGCAATGATAATTCTGATGGTAATTTCAATACTGGGGGAATATCAATTGGTACAAAATGGAAGCTTCTTTTATCGTTTGCAGTGTCCCAATGTCTGTCGGAATTAACAGATGGAGAGTGTATGATAGATTGTCTATCTGTAGATAGGGAATTTAGAGGACAAGGAATTGGTCAAATTCTCTTGGATGCTGCTGAAAAAGAGGCCAAAAAGAAAGGATATACAGTTAGTTTTTTTTTAAATTCCTATACTTATATAATATTATTGCATTGAAATCTCTCCATAGAAAATATCGTTGCTTGTTATACTAAAAAATTTTGGCGCTAGAAGACTCTATGAAAAATGGGGATATGTTACAACTAAACTTTTTACGGCTAGGCCTATTTTTCTATTTGGAAGCCATGTTCGTATTTTTTCGTCTTTAAATTACAAATTGAAAGGAATTTAAATTTTTGTTTACTTTACAGGGAATGTATAAAATGGAAAAGGAAATTCTTTAGATGTTATAGATGAAATCTGTCACGTGATATATTTAGTAGATTTCTTTTGTTTTTTCAAAAGTAGGCCTTTATGTTGTAAACTGTAAATTTAGTTTTTGAAGAATACCAGACATATTCAGCCAATATTCGATAGTATTAGAAAATACCTCAAGATGCTAAAAGTGTATCCTGCTTTAGCAGGGCCGATATTAAATGTTTTGCTAAAAGTGTAAAATGTGATATTTATGATTTAGCATATTTTCTTCTTTAAGATAGATAATTTGTAAAATAAAAAGAAAAATTGTAGACAACAATTTTTATTTGTCTTAAACACTGCAAACTGGTAGACATTTTTCAGATTAATATTGTACAGTGCTTATTCTACTCATTCATACCTTTAACATTCTCTATCTTAATTTATAAATAACCCTCCAAGTAATACCCTTAACCCATTGTTTTCTTAATTCTAAAAGAATTTTATTGAATGAGAAGAATATAAGAAAACTGCAAATTTATCTTCTAAATCCATATTCTAAAGGTTTAGAAGCACTTTTTGTGAGAAGCACTTTTTGTGTACAATGGCTGGTCCAATATCATCATATTCTGTACTGCTCATGCACGCTTGTTGGAAAGTAGACAAAGCTGCAAAAATGGAACCACCAATCCATGTTGAATATTTTCTTTCAGGCGGAGCAATAATTTCAATTCTCTGATAGCGTGCGCATAAAACTGACATTTCTTTCTTTAGTCTATCAGAAATACCTTTAAACATGGTAGATCCTCCAGACAATACAATATTGGCATAAAATTCGTTACTGTTAACAAAAGCTTTTGTTTCTTGAGAATATTCAACGATTGAATAATAAAAATATTCAAAATATATAGTCACCTTAAGTCAGAATTACATTTCAAGATGGAGCTGTTAATTATTTTATGGATGCCGGAACAGTCCATTCCCATTTGGGCAGGTTGGAAAAGGGCTTCAGCACAGCGGAATTTTTCATTTCCAATTCTTAATTGTTGTCCATCAGGCAAATTGTATGACTGAAATACATTGGATGAATATTTGAAGATTGGAATTTTTCAAACATAATCTATAAAAAAAATAAATCTATTGTGAACTGGATTATAGGTTATACAAAGAAGAGAGTTTTGTTGTAAACAACACAACTAACATAAATAAAATTACTATTTATATTACTAGAAATACACTTATTGTCTTACTTCAGTCATTTTTTCACGATTTGCCTTTGAGTTTAAGGGGGTTTTTGTCAACAGAATCGGATGTTCTTTCGGGGTCTTATGAAGTTCATTAGCGAAAGTATGATCCCAGACTCTTTCCATGTCATTCCAGTTGGTTATAATACCACGTTCGATTAGGTGCTTGAGGGTTAATATTTCTCTCTTTGTTTGGGCTTCATCTCCAACATAACTATCTTTTTGGTCCTTGGCAACTTGTTTTGGTCTACCAACGATGGAAGGAAAAACTGACTTGGGTGTTTTGGCACCAGCAAAACCAGCTTTGCATAAACCAGAACCATTGTCAATGACAATAGCCGTTGCCTCGTTATCGCACATTTTGGTAATTAATTTCAGAAAGTTGTTGACAAAAAATACTCAACAGAGTCTTTACATTAACTGACTACTATAAGGAATGGCATGGCTAAGGACCTGTCATTTTCATCCTAACTACCAAATATAGAAAAGTAGGAGGAGTTAAGAAATATACCTCTGCCTTTTTTGCAATAAAAATTCTGTAACTTTTAAGATTTAGGGATTAACAGAATTTAAACATTTGAGCAATAATCTTAAGCTTACTTTTAGCATGAAAAGCAGAGGCTTATAAACAAGGCACTCCTATTATGCATTATAGTGTAGAATAATCAATGACAAGTCTTTCCAAAAATTAGTATTTACTTTTTTATGTTTCCTGCCAGGGCTTAGGATGTTATGTTTAGGGTCTGCCAATTACCGATTGATAGAACTCTTAAGGCTACTCTCCTATCTTCACTTTAAGCAGAACACCTAGAAATACACACACGCACACACACAAACAATGGATCTTTAAGTTGAGAATAGCAGCAATCTCTATATAGAGATTATTAATTCTTGTTATGGATACGACAGAAAACGTATACAAATCAGTGCTTTTACCCTAACCCTAACCCAACCCTTAGCTGTACCTAACCTTTTCCATTAGCCCTAACCCTTAGAGGAGACCCTCCTAAGTACAAATCAGTTGCTGTTTTCTTCTGCCCAACCATTTCTCAATCCAAATTTTTGTCTTGAAATTTCTCATTTGTGGACGTTTTCTGTCGACCCCATTTGAGTTATATTTCTTTGTTTAATGTATAGATTTTTTGTCATATCATACATGAATCAAGAGACTTTCTAGGCCTAAAATTTTCTTTACTATAATATCAAAAGATTCATATTGTTCATATCAGTTTGTGAGTCAGTTGATTTCCATAGAAGATAGTGTAGTGTAAAATATATAATGTGGTTATTGAAGATGTTGTAACCACTGTATTATCAAAACAATGGAAAACCAATCCTTTTAAAGCAAGAAAAATGGGTGTTGATAGTCTAGAGAGTTTGTCATTGGTCTGTATTAGATCCAATTTATACTTTATTAGTAAAATTTGTAAGAGAAATGCAATATTTCTACCTCCAAAAATTGGTATGAGCATTTTCGAATTTGCGAACAAAGATAACAAACCATTTTCAACCAATGAATTGAAGTTTTTTTCTTCGAGTATCCTCTATTTATCAAATGTTACACTGAAGCAGAGAAAGTTTACATCTGTTGACAATTTAAGTTTTTTATCTGATCATCCAATTAAATCACTTTGTTTAGAGAATTTTATAAAACAAATTTATTTACCAATAGTGGATACATTGAAAAATCTAGAATTGAAATCATGTGACGTTTTTGCAGAGGAATCTGTAAATATGTTTAAACAATCAGCAAATTTACCATCTTTAAAGTCATTAAATTTGAATTTTTCAAGAAATATTACAAGAAGCAAAATGGTCAAAAAATTAATTCAATTTTCTTCAATTTCTCTTCAAGCCGTTGACTTTTCAAGTTGCAATTTTAGCAAAGAGGATTGCTATGATTGGTTAGGGAGCGTGTTTCAAAATTGCAGTCAATTAAGGGAAGTTAATCTGAGTGGTAATCAGAAAATGGGAGATGGTTGGTTAAATATCCTAAAAGGGCTGAAGTCTTCATCAAATCACCTTTTAAAAATCGATTTTTCTTATTGTGATTTGATAAAAGAGAATAATTGTTGGCTTGGTGAATTATTTAAAATATGCAAATTATTACAGGAAGTCAATTTAAGTGGCAATAAGAAACTTGGTGATGGATGGTCAGAAATACTAGCAGGCTTAACGTCATCGTCACAGTCAATCATTAAAATTGAATTTTCGAACTGCTTTTTGAGCAGCAGCAATGGTAATATGTTAGGTAATTTTCTCAAACAGTGTACATCAATTGAGGAAATTAATTTAAGTGAGAATAAAAGGATTCTTAATGGTTTCGATAAAATATGTCAAGGATTGAAATTGTCTTCTAATACTCTCAAAAGAATTAATTATTCAGACTGCAATTTGAATGAGAATCAAATTAACTTTGTTAGTGATTTAATTGCAGATTGTACTTTATTAGAACAAGTAGTTTTATGTGACAATGAAAATTTCAGAAATCAAGCTGAGAAAATATGTAGTGGATTAATGTCTTCTTCAAATTCTTTACAAAGAGTTGATGTATTTAATTATAATTTGAATAGTGAGGAATCTTATTGGTTTGCTAATTTATTGCAGAAATGTAAAACATTAAGAGAAGTTTACATTTTCAGTCATGGAATGGAGGAAATATTTATAAGTTTAAAATCGTCTTCAGCCTCTCTTCGAAAGATCAAAATTGAATTTTTTGACGTTACCGACGAGGAAATACTTTGTGTAGGAAATTTATTAGAGGAATGTAAAATTTTAGAGGATTTTAGTATCTCTGCAAATATGCTGTCCTCGAAACAACTCGAAGTGATCTGTGCAGGATTACAGCCATCTTTAAACTCTTTGAAAAAGATTAAATTTTCTCCTTGCATTGTAGAAGAAAATGACGTTTATTGTCCAGGCAGTTTATTTATAGGATGTGAATCATTGACAGAAATTGATCTAATGGGAAGTCATTTTAATACTCCAGGTCTGGCCGAGATTTTCCAAGTATTGAAATCTTCTGCAAAATCTCTTCTGAAAGTCAATTTTAATAACTGTGTTTGGAAAGAAGGTGACATTGGTCAATTAGCAGATTTGCTTAGAGAGTGCACCTTTATAGAGGAAATTAATTTAAGCTCCACTAGTTTACATGGAAATGAATTTAAAAATATTTGTGAAGGGTTAACATCTTCCTCAAATTCACTTTTAGACATAGACCTCTCTTGCTGTGATCTAAATGAAGATCAAAGCTTTTGGTTGGGCGATTTTTTGAATCAATGTACATCACTACAAAATATTGATTTAAGTGCTAATTGTGAATGTGGAAAGAATATTTGGGAAATATTTGATGGATTGAAATTATCTTCCTATTCTCTTCGCAAGTTGTACCTTTTTGATTGTAATTTGAATGAAGAACAAAGTTGTTGGCTTGGCGATTTATTACAAATGTGCACATCAATACAAGAAATTAATTTAAGTGGGAATAATGAGTTTGGAAAGGGGTTTAAGGGAATATGCAACGGATTAAAATCATCTTCAAACTCCCTTATCAAGATAATCCTTTCTGATAATGATCTAAATGAAGAACAAAGTCATTGGCTTGGAGATTTGTTACAGGATTGTTTATCAATACAAGAAATTGATTTGAGTGGCAACGATTCCTGTGGAAAAGAATTTAAGAGAATATGTAATGGATTAAAATCGTCTTCAAATTCTCTTCTTAACATAAGGCTTTCTCAATGCCAATTGAGTTCGTGCGATTGTCGTTGGTTGGGCGATTTACTTGAGAAATGTACTTGCCTAGAAGAACTTTGTTTAAGTTTCAATGAGAATTGTAGTAGGGAATTTAAGGGAATTTGCCAAGGACTAAAAGCATCTTCACATTCCCTTCTCCGCCTTAATCTTTCATATTGTAAATTTAACGAAAATCATAGTCATTTATTAATTGAATTACTAAGAAACTGTAATATATTAGAAGATATGTATTTAGACAGTTTTGGAGAAGATCATCCAGATTTTATCAACTTACTGGATGGTTTTAAAGCTATATATCCACATTTAAATTTAAGCTATTTGTAACAAGAAGTTATTATCAATTTACATTCTGTAACATAATTGTAAAACTATTGATTTTTTGAACATAATATTTAATACAAAGGAGATAGCCCTTATGCTTTAGGCTGGCGGACAGCACATTTTGGCCCACGACATTTCGGCTCTCTTTGGGATATTTTGGCCAATTTCAGGAAATTTGACAAATGTCATCTTATGTAATAGTGATCTATTGCAAAGTGATGTAAACAACAACAGATTCATTACCTAATCTAATCCTAGTCTCAGAAATTTTAGAAAACTACCTATTGATAAACTCTTTCTGTAACATGGATAAATCTTAGAAGAGTTGTTGCCTGTTTTTGAAAAGAAGATGGGAAGTTGAAGTAATGGAAAGTACGGCTTTAGTACTTTTTGTGTTCTAATTTTATGCATATAATAGTCATCCTTGAGTTGTCCAAATATGTCAAGGTCACTTGATGAAAATCCAGGCATACCTGAAACATCAGGGCCTTATTAGTTGAGCTTCGATTATCAAATATAATTTGTCGAAAGTGAGGATCTCCAGATGCAGAAGCGAGAGCAAAAATGATGAAGTTAAAAGAATATAGTCAGTGGATCCAGTTTTTGTAGCAATCAGTAATGTTAAAGTCAAGTTTAGTACTAAATTCTACCATACAACAAAGATGAAAGCTTTCAGAGTGTTGTACTTTCAATGACAAAGAATTACTTGGGAAATCTTTTAAGAGAAGCTTGAAGTTCTTGCTTCGGTTAGTTATAAACTAACCAACTGTTCTAAATTTGAAAATGAGTTTTCGTGTAATTCCTTTAATTCGAAATTGGTTAGTTATCTTAACTATGAGATTGTGGTCCAGTATGGTGACAAATTGCATTAGAATCATTATATTCAATACAAGTTATTGTTACTAAACATATACAAATACCATCTTGAAATTCATTTGACTTAAATTTTGAGAATAGTTCTGATGAGTACACCATAAATTTTGATAGGCCCACTTTTAATTAAAGGTCAAAAATGTTTATTTTTAGTAATTTTCATCAATTTTTTCTTTATTTGGCCATGCTTCATCATTATTGGAACATACACTTGATTTTCAGTTTAGTATCAAAATAGATGTCTAAAACAAAATTTTTTGGACTTAATCAATTCTCCAAGTTGAGTTTATCTATTATTATCAATTATAATTATATTAGCTAATTTTTGTTGCATTTATTTAACTATGACGTGGATAATAGGGATCTTGTAAAGATCCTTATATTTCATAAGGAAATAGGAAAATTAAGAGCAACAGCAGAAGTGGGATGGTACCATGATCAATTTGCAAAATTCTATGATACAATCCACCAAAACAGGAGAATAGGGATTGTCCAAAGAGACCTACTGAGAGAGACATAGGCAGGATGAAAAGAGTTTTAAAGAAATTGAAAATAAATAGGGGAAGGTTATAGCAGGAAATATTTTAAGGGAATTAGAAGTAGATGTAAGCATAACAACAATTCAGAAGGAGCCGAAAAGACAAAATTTCAAGTATAAATGAGTGAGACAAAGATCTGACCTCACAACCAACAATTGTAAAAGAAGAAAAAAATGAGGCTCGATTCTCACTGAGTGACCTTGATGACTTTAGAACATGGACAAATGATGGTGAAAAAGACTTTAGGGTGACGAAAAATATGGGCAGGGGTGGAGTAATGGTTTGGGGACTCATAACCTTCAATGGGATATTTGAAGTAAAGCAGATAGAGAAAAAACTTAATGCTGACCATTACAGCTGTTTTATTGGAAAATGTTCTCCCCCGTCACACACACATTCACTCTTTTTTTCTCTATCTTTAATTCTCTATTAAAGGAATACATACTATTGATTAGTAAAGTATGTTTTGAAGCACTTGAACTCTCAAGCATTTGAACATCATTGATTACCATTGCATCTGTACATTCGAAATAGCTTAATGGAGGAGAATACAACTGTTCTCTGCAATAATAATCCTAATCTATGGTACTGTGGAATATCTCTCTGGACCTATTGTTTTACAATGCCTGTCTTTCTATTATGCAGTATTTTTGGTAATTCTTTAGCATTTGTAATCCTTAGCAAGAGAAAAAAAATCACACCAATCGTAACCTACCTAACTGTTTTGGCAGTAGCAGACGTTTTAACAGTGAGTTTTGGAGCTCTAGAAACATTTATAAGAGGTTTAACAAACGATAAAGTCTATTTGAGATTTTACGTGAATTGTTTTGGATTTACTGGACCATATTATGTCGCTTCATATGTTTCCGGTTGGATGATTGTATGCATTGCAGTTGATAGGATGATTGCAGTTACATTTCCATATTTTAGAAGAACAGTAAGATGCTCTAAAATTGTTGTCTTTGTTATTATTTTATTGACAGTGGTGGTGTTTGTTTGCTTTCAAATAACTGAACCAATTATTGACAATTTTGGAAGAAAGAGATGCCACTACAATAAACGAAACAGCTATATAATTACAAATAGATATTGGTATGTAGTTGATGCTCTTGTCTACTCAATACTACCAAATCTCGTCATAATACCATCTACAATTGTTAATATACATAAATTAGACGCTCAACGGAACAAGAGACGTCGTCTCCTGTCTTGCAACAAATCGAGCAAGGCTTTTGTTTGCACTTTAAATATTGGTGTTGAACGGAAATCAGAACAATACGAGAAAACGACGCAATACAGAAAAGTTAACATTATGTTAATAAGCGTTTGTACTATTTATGCAACGTGTACAATCGTATTCTGCCTATTTAAAATTCTCGAGTATACTCTCAGCGCTAAATACGAACCATTAATCCGACTAGGCATATTGGTTGGTGAGAATCTACTATTCCTTAATCATTCTATAAATTGGCTTGTGTATTGCGTAACGGATCCAGTGTTTAGAAATGATCTATTCGAATACCTCAAGTTCAAGAATGCTCTCATTTGTAGACATAAGCATAAATAATTGGAATAGTTTTGGTTATAAATACTGTCCCGATATTGGGTCAGGAAAAGAAAAACAAACAAGAAACAGTTATTTATAGCTTCTTCCATCATGATGTTATAACTTCTATGAGCTACTTGAATATGATGGATTATAAACAATATTGATTTATTGTTCATATATATATATATATATATATATATATCTTTAAGCTCAGTTTCAAATCTTTATTTGTTTATTATCATTAAATTATTAAATCTTTATTAGTTTATTATGACCTAGTTAATTTTTAAGTGGTTTGTTTGTCAATATCGTGAATAATTGTTATAATATTAACCAATATCGTCTAAATGGGGCAAAATAACAATAAAACTTTACTGATGTACATTTAAAGAATAATGAAGTTTATCTTAAAATATGTTTTTTATTTGTTTACCAATTTCTCTATTAGCCTGTGAAAATATAAAAAAGTCAACAATTTTGTTAGATATCAATGAAATACGTATGAAGGATTTATTGTAGGAAATTCAACAGAATATCAACCAAGAGCTATAACAATTAATAGAAAAGTATATAATTTATTGCATTATTTTAAAGGTGTACTTTGCGAAAATATGGGTTATGATAAAAAGTTTGCTCAAATTCAATATTTTTTGGATAGCAGCCTATGAAATCATTAAAAATAACTCAATTCAATCCGTGTTGTCAATTGTAAATATTCTTCTTTCTTATCTTAAATTCTTTAAAACTAGACAACAGTTTTATGTTCATAGCAAAGTGTTAGAAAAAGATATATATGAAAGAGTAATACTAACCTGTTTCAAAGCGGATGCATCATGTTTGTATTGAAATATCTTCCAACTGCAAAACTTTTGCAGCCTAGTTTTTTTAATAAAAAACAAACAAGCAGATATATTTATTAAGAGGATAAATCAAAATTTATTTCTTCCTCTATTCAAAACTAAGCAAAACGTTTTGTATATTTCATCTCTAAACGATGAAGAGTACAAGTGTAAAAAACACGAATTGTTTATAATTGAAGATATTGAAATTCGGAATGCTTCTGTTGAAATTAGAATTCTAAATGGAAAAATTGCTAAAGTGAAACTTGAAGAATATGATAGCGACGAAAGACTGTTTTGTAGATATAATGAATTAGGAGGTTGAGAATGAAAAAATAGAAAGATTTTTCAAATTCAAAAATTATGATTTAACCTTTATAGAAGCAATATTTATGGATTTCAATGATTCTTATTATGATAGTTTAAAAAGGATTATAAAAGAAAATGTAAATCCTCCATTCGTGTTTACAATATCAAAAATGTAAGGTGTGGCAATAGCATTTGTTGAATACCGATTTAATTGGAATGCAATGAGTTACATGTGTATAGTTTCATCCTATTCTACAAAAGCAAACTTCAAGAATCTTTCTATCCCTATGACGATGGAGTAAGACAATTTTGACAAATTTCATTTTTGCTATTCTGTTATTAAAGTTACTTTTTAATATTTATGTAGTTTGACAATATATTGTTGCATAACTGTGAGATTCTGGATGAACAGCAAATGCCTTCTTGCTACTTTCTAAGAACGAATAAAGATAACAGCGTCTATTACCTTACGCATACTCAATGTATTCGAGGGAAATATTCCAGTAATTCTTCATTTAATGATCTTTTCACATTTTCAACTATTTAACAATCAATTTTTTATAGACCAAACCATTCTATTTCATAATTCGTTGAAAACTTCTATTTATGAGAATTTGTATAATCTTAGTAAAATTAGCGGATATCCCATTATTTACTCTAGAAACGGATATCATTTCGTAAATAATCTTGGGTTTAGAGAAATTCAAATTATATGCAACCATTTGGGATTTTTATCTGGTACAATAAATAAAGCGGAAGTATCAGTACTGCGGTAGTTCAGTATTTCATACTATTTCTAAATTGTCCCCGAAACGCAACAGATATACATGATTGTGAAATGAATGCTTTGTGAGTAATCTTAAATTTTTCGTTTAATAATTTTCCATGAAAATATCACGTTAGAGGGCGAATTATGGATGAACCAATAGTTTTATTATCTTGTTCCAACTCCGGTATATTTCCGATTTGTCTTTAATAATAAGTAACTATACCAGTTTTTGTTTCCATGTTTTAATGAAGAGAATCCTTGCCAAGGACAACCAATTATTTATTATGATGAAACGTGCTTTTATCATTTCCAATACAAAGAAAAGAAATCTGTTGATGAAATGTTACAATTTTGTAGCGAAAAAAATTGAACAATGGCCAATTTGAATATATTCAATAGACATTTTTTTTTCCAATATCTAACTGATTTAGATTACTATCACTACGGTTTTATTCCTATGCTATTTTTCTCAAAAGGTTACTATTGTAGATGTCAAAGTTCAGTTCATCCCAACATGAACAATATGCAGTATATTCCAAGATTTCATCATCATAAATAATTAATTTCTTAATAAGCCTATAATCTTGGAATTAGTTGGATGAATAATTCAATAAAACCAAAAATATATAAGATATATTTTTTCTATAAAACGTTTACTCAGTTTGTCAATTTATAATCAGTTAGAAAGATGAAAACTGAAAGAAGAGTCTATTTAGTTACCGATACTAATTATTTAGTTGACCTTATTTCACAAGATGAAGAGGACGAATATGAAATTCTAAATAAAAGTTTAAATTGTTCGGCTATTATTGGACGGAGAGTTGAGACACGCAGTCGCTTTCAAACAAATATCTTTGAGGCATTTGAAGAAGGATACTACTTGATAAAAATGATTAAAAGTATCATCTAAACCAACTCTTAGTATTATTTTAATAAATCAGTTTTAAGTGAACTTTTACAATATTAAAAAGCCAGAAATTGTCTATTTATTACAACTTTGCTAAATTTATAGTTAATAGACTTATCTCATTGGTTTAGCTTTTACTTTTATCAAGGAGATTATAGTAAAGAATTTATTGATTTTCTCTCAAAAACAGACATTAATTTTTTCTCCAATATTCAGAATATCAATTACAGTTTGAAAAAATTCAACATGGAATGAAATTTACCTCAACGTTATGCGAAAAAAGAGTTGGCAAGTATGTTTTTCTGACAAAAAACAATAGATTTTAATTAATTGAATCATTTTTTGAAATATTTAAATATCAAGGAAAATTATTAGAGAAAAGCCTGTAAAAGATTTTGCGTGCCAAGCTAACATGTTTGGTTGTTATAAAGTGGACGACATGTATATATGGACACTGTAAATTTTGATAGGCCAATTTTTAATTAACGGTTAAAAGTGTTTGTCCTCTGCAAATTAGTGTTTTTTGTCTAAATTTATATAGAAAAAGAGTTAAATTGACATAATATTGAAAAAAATTGAAGAAAATGATAATATTTTGTGAACATTATTAGCAAAAATTTTTAATAATTTTCATAAGTTTTTTCTTTATTTGGCCACGCAACATGTTTTTTGGAACATTGAGTTGACATCCAGTTTGACATTCAAATAGACATCTCAAACAAAAAATTTTTCAACTTTTTTCCTGTTTTAAGTTAAGTTTATTAGTTATTGAATATTAAAAATTACTGTGCATAATTTATATTGTATTTTTTTAATTATGGTTTGGAGTCAAGATATAAGGGATTTGGTAATCAAGAAATTTAGCGAAATAGGGAAATTAAGGGCAACAGCAAGAGTTTTAGGAATGGCACCATCATCAATCAGTAACATACTGAAGTACAAGCAGCCAGAACAAGACAATAGGGGAGGTCCGAAGAAGCTTTCCGACAGAGAGATAGCGAGGATGAAAAGAATTATAAAGAAACTAAAAGATAACAAACAAAGAGTGACAGCAGCAAAGATATTAAAGGAATTAGAAGTAGATGTAAGTGTAAGAACAATACAGAGGGAGCTGAAAAGACAAAATTTCAAATATAAAAGAGTCAGACAAAGAACTGATCTCACCTCCAAAGACTGTAAATGCAGAAAAGTGTACTGCCTCAAAGTTATTAGTGAAAATCTAGACTGGTCTAGGGTTATTTTTACTGATGAGGCTAGGTTTTCGCTAAGTGGACCTGATGATTTTAGGACTTGGACCAGCAACAGTGAAAAGGACTTCAGGGTCACAAAAAATATGGGGAGAGGTGGAGTATTGGTGTGGGGGTTGATAACCTTTGACGGCATATTTGAAGTCTGGAGGATAAGGAGCAAGCTGAATGCTGAAAACTATAGCTCCTTCATTGTGGAAGATGTTCTGCCTGTGATAGAAGAAATTGAGGCAAAAATGGGCAGGCAGTACATCTTCCAGCAAGACAATGCTGGCTTAGTTCAGTATACATATGCGATGGTCATTTTGATTGTCGAATGGGATAAGATGAGCAGAATTGTCCTCATAATCATACAAATCAATTTATGTGCTTTAGTATGGATATGACAATAAGTTATGCTCGTGTTTGTGATCATATCAATGATTGCAGTGATAATTCAGATGAAATGTTCTGTTGTAAGTATAATCAAAATAAGAGAAAAAGTTTTCCACAGTAAAAAGGTATCAATTTTAGCCAGAGAGAGTTGCAATACTACTCAAAGGTAGTTATCTTCCCTATCAATAATGTATATATACAGTATGCACTGTATATTAATAATATATACACTTACTGATTAGATATACATGTTATAACAAACAATGTGTTGAATTTGAACAAATTTGCGATAATGAAATCAACTGCTTTGATTCAAGTGATGAAATTTGCGGTAGTGATAAATCAATAGAAAAGACCTATAGAGAGAGTATACAAACTTATATATATATATATGGATACGACAGAAAACATCCCCAAAAGCACAGTTTAACCCTAACCCTAACCTAGCCCTTGTCTCTCCTTAACCTTTTTGATTGCTCCTAACCCTTAGATGGGACCCCCCTAACTATAAATCAAAAGCTACTTTACTCCTCCTAACCATTTTTCAATCGAAATGTTGCTTTCAAAAAACTCATTTGGGGATGTTTTCTGTCAGCCCCATATATATATATATATATTCCGTACACATAAAATATTCAAAAGCATGCACTCCTTTTTGAAAATGATTTACAGATTGCAATAAAAAATCTCAATTCTATTGCAATAGCCAATGCACAACAAAGCTTATTCAATGCAATATGAAGTCTGATTGTTATAATAGTATAGACGAATTGGTTTGTCCTCAATCGGCATTTACTAAAAATTGTAAAATCGCTTTGAAAAATCATTGTCAAGTGAAATTTGATTCAAAAGGTTTTCTTGTTTCAAAACCTGGCTTTCCTTATTATATTAGGTGCGATCCATATATTGTAGATGTTTTGTATTTTTAGCTCTAATAGTAAACTAATTTGAATAATATTTGTTTAATGTCATAGCCTATAGTCTACTCTATAAAAATTAACTATTTGAGTTTTTATTAGTCTTCCCCATTGTTTATACATGTCTGCTATTTGGATGGTAGTAAGTCAATGCTGTTCCGATAAAAGGAAGATGGTTTTCTCCTCAGAAATTCCCTGATATCTTTTTTTAGCTCATCTAAATTATCATAGTCAACTCCCCTGATGTGATCTTTTAGTCGTCCAAACAAGTAATAGTCAGATGGAGCCAAATCAGGGCTGTATGGGGGACGTGGACATATAGACCATCCCTGATTCATCATAAAATCTGTCATGTATAGACTGGTATGGGGTCTGGCATTATCATGTTGTAAAATGATCTGTTTTCCAGGCCTTATCCTATGCAGTCTCTTTCTTAATCTCTTCAGGGTCTCCACATACTGGATGGAGTTGACTATTTCACCATAATCCATAAATTCAACATGGATTAAGCCTGATTGGTTCCAGAAAATGGTGCACATAAGTTTTTCTGCTGATTTAGCCATTTTTAGCTTTTTTCAGGTGGAGACAAAGTGTGCTTATATCTTAAAGAAGCCCTCTTTGATTCAGGATCATAAAGATGAACCCAAGATTCATCTCCAGTAACAATTTTTTCCAAAAATGCTTCTTTTTCTGCTGTGTATCTTTGGAGTAGCTCCACACAATGACTCACCCTCACCTCTTTTTGATCCTGAATGAGATCATAGGGGATCCATTTAGCACAAATTTTTCTGTACCCCAGCTCCTTAATCATCTTCCCAACAGCCTCTTGACCAATTTCTAATTTTTTGGAATTGCTCTCTGAGATATGGTTCAATCTTGTCTGAGAAGCTTGTCAACCTCTTCCTTATTCTGCTCTGTTACAGATGTCCTTCAACAGCCGCATCTTGGCAAATCTTCAAGATTTTTTCTTCCCTTTTTTATATTAATAACCCACCCTTCTTACTGAGCCTTCAGTCAGAGTTTCATCACCACAATAGCTTTTTAACCATGTGTGAATGTTCTTTGGAGAGGCCTTCTCATGTACTAAAAATGAAACAATTTTTCATTGATGGGAATGTGTAGGCATGACTAGCAGTTGCTTGCACCAAAATAATTTTGTAATGTCTTGACAGAATGGGGTGAAAGTTTTCACAATGAAACCTAACAGATTAAGTAATATATTTGGAAAGTATCAATACTATTAGTTAACCCATTTTAAAATTACAGCAGAATGTCTACAATATACAGATCGCACCTAATATATTTATACTTAATAAATTTGAATGTAAAACAACAAATTGACCTTTGACTCCACCAGTTTTACATAAAATTGTGTAAAAATTGTCACTTTCTTCAAGAATATTGTCATCCTTTTCACTACAGTATGAATAGTTCATTGAATTATATTGAATTGCAGGATTATCATTTGTCAATTCAACATAGAAAGATTTGAACATGTTTAAAACACTTGAAACTAGTCTGAAATCTAAGCCAAAAACATTGTAGTACACTAAAAGATTAATTGCAACCCGATAATTTTTGCCTAAATGTAACGTTACAAAATCACTCTCATCTCCATTATTTAATTTATGCAGGTGACCATAATCAACTATTTTCGCATATTTCTTCTCCATGCTTTGAGTCGCATGAACATTTACAAATTTCAAAATTTGAACAATTTTTTGAACTTGAACAGATAGTCGCTTCTGTTAGGAAGAGATGATTGATTATCAATTTTACAATTTAATTCCAAAATATAATATTTTACCTAAATTTTGAAATTTTAGACTTAAAAAAGAGAGAATTATTATTTTTGACAAAGTCTTCATTTTAAAACAGCAAGTGAACATTCAACACTTCAACAACGGGACCTGTCAAAAACGGCCATAAATGAAATATTTGAAAGTTAGATTTCAGCCTGGGAAATGGTTAGGAGGAATAAGATAGGACGGTCCCATCTAAGGGTTAGGGGTATTCAAAAAGGTTAGGCAAAAACAAGGGGCTGGGTTAGGGTTAGGGTAAAACCATACATTTATGGCCGTTTTCTACCACATCCTTCAACAACAATGATGTTCTATTCAATTATTTAGAATTTCAAACATTTAAAAGATGAACATTACATTTATTAATTTTTAAGGTATTTACGAGGTAGGAGTAATAGAAAACTTTTTCCTTACATGACTACAATGACAATATTATTGAAAGAATTTCATTTAATTTTTAAGCATTTAGAAACCTTTAAGAAAATTGGCCAATAAAATCTTTATGTATTGCATTCAAAATGGGACATTTTATAAAAATAGATTGATGAATAGCTATGAATGAAAAAAAAGGTTTTATATTGTTAAACTATTCATAATTTTTTCCACCCTAACCGTGAGAATTTAAGGATTAATAGAAATTTTAAAATATAAAAGGAGCAAGCAGATTAGTATGAAGTTTAGTTTCAATAAAGTATTTTAAACATTAAAATAATGATTTTAAAATATTTATTGTATTTTACCTTACTCGTTTGTTCTAAATCAACCAAAATATTTTTAAATGAAATTGGTTTGGCATCAGCAAAAGTTGAATATATTGCTTTTCCTGGTAGTTTGGATAATATTCAGGTGTATATTATCTCATCCACCAAGACTGTGGTTCACAGCTATCATCCTAACCATGCCTCTACTGCCGGTCTAACTGTTTTGTCAATAGACTTTACTGACTTTCCATCAAGTGATCAATTTCTAATTGTTATGTATCAAGGTAAGATAGTAAAGAAATTTCTATTTAACAATTTATAACTCTAATCATACTTTACAAAAAACTTTTAGAACAAGCACCAAATACTGAAACTACATATGCCAACTATATAAAAGAAGATATAATAGATGCTGTTGTTTTATCACCTATTCAGAATGATCCAAATAAATTTTCTGATAAAGTACCAGAATGGGACAATAAAGTTCTCTACTTTTCTAGTACTGCAGTTTCATTTTCAAAATGTTTTAAATTCGAAACATATATTCCAAATTATTGGTTTGAGAGACCAGAAACCCTGCCTGGAATGAACAATTGTCCAAGCGGTAAAATTTTTAAGATATTCTTATTTATAGATTGATTATTTTATTTTTATTCACTGCAGTTGATCCAAATGCGGGTGGTGATCCTCATTTCTCCCAAAAGGTCATTGATTCCAGAACTAAGAGACTGAGGAATATTTGTTACGACATTGTAGGCAGAAGTGGTCAATCAATTTATATTTTGAATGATAATTCAACTAATACAAGTGTTCAAGGCATCCTTAAAGACGATTATTACATGCATCAGATTATTATTCAATATAAAGGTGGGGTGATCATTGTTGATAACTCATTCATTCAAATCAATGACAAAAAATTGAAATGGTTCAATTTGGTTAAATACAAAGTTCGCTTAGCCAATATTCATGTTAAGTCAACTGAAGAAATTCATATTGAAACATTTTATAAACAATTCAAATTAGTTACAATTGTCAAAAAAGAATTTAAAGCATACAGTGGCACATTTCTCAATGTTTACTTTGAACATATTAATATATTTTATGAAAACCTTGGAGGATTAATTGGAGATATTGGAAAAAAGACATTCATTTTCAATGAAAATATTCAAGGGAACTCAAATAATGTTAAAGTTGATAATATTGAAATTGAATCAACTATTACAAGAAGATTGTCGAATGAATGCCATCTCCTTCCATTGGTTCAACTAATACATCCTAAAACCATATCGGACTATGTTCACTAATCTGAAATCTTAGCCAATCAACAACATCTACTGATTGCCTACCAAACATTAATGAAAATAGGACAGTAATTCGACAAAGAAAATTAAAGAAACTTCCTTGCTCATGTTCATATTCATCTTTTTCTCTTTTTATCAGCAATTCTATCAGTTTTCATTGATCTAAACATCAAAAATGATATTTATGTAATAATTCTAGGATTGTTAATTCCCCTCAATCCAGTACTAAACCCAATGTTGTATTCAGTCAATGAAATGAAAATAAAAAGGCATATTCAATTTAAGAAAAGGTTTTTATTAATTTTTAACCCATTTTTACATCAACTGTTCAATTTTGCGTATTTTTGTGAAGACAAGACGAACTAGAGATATTACTGGTAAAAAGAGAAGAAACCTGTAAGCTGCATAATTATAGCTCTAACACATTAAACCTAACAATGTTAAATTTTTAATATTTGTATGCAAAAACAGTAATTGATAAATTCAATGGCTTGGAAAAAAATTATATTTTCAAGTCTGATTATCTTGAAAATTATCAACAACTTTATATGAACGAAGAGTTAGTTCTTTTATACACTGGGATATTTCAAGTGTATATATCATATAAATAAAGCATTTGTATTCATGTATAACAGTTGTCTATCTACACAAATATCAAATCTACAAAAACAAATTTATTTGAATGTAAATGCATAATTATTGAATTGATGACAAGTGTAAATTCCTTATTTGTTAACCATTTTCAGAAAAAATCAAACTTATACTATCTTAGAATTCCTTATTTCAAACATGATATACAATGGGATAAGAGTAAAGACATGCTATTGTTTGGGGATTTTGTGAAAAAGATTTTGTGGAAAAAAACTCATTTATTCTGATGTAATCATTAAATAGTTGCCTT